GAAGTACGAGCATATGGCGACCAATGTCGCACGCTTCAGCACCAGGTATGTCTCTCGTAACACTCTCAACCCCGATCCACACCGCACAGATGCCACTAGCACCCCAAGGACCACCCTGCGCTTCACCTAGCATACAGCAGCGCAGCTTGGCTATGGCTGCGTGCTCTCTCCTACTCGCCCGTGAGAGCGTGAGTGCCAGCAAGCCAGCGCATTGCGCAGCAGCGCTCACGCAGCATGCAGCCAGCACCCGAATGCCGAATGAGGAGGCAGGCCCTTCCCAATATCGAAGTGGCCTGCCTGCGTCCAGTCCAGGAAACTTCCGGTAGGCCCCGGTAGGCACAGGCCCAGTCACGAAGGGAGCAGGCCTGGGGCCTGAAGTGGTTGCATGCGCCCAACTGCTTTCGGTCTGTGTTTGGCCTGGTACCCGTATCCAGCCCAGGGCCTGCTTCACATTCATTTGCACAGGCGGCCCAGGGCCTGGATTCATTCAACCAACTGGCGCAATGCAACTGTCTGAATTTCCCCGTTGCGGGGTACCCTGAAGAATGAGGCCCGAAGGGCCTGTCGTGCCTGCCTTCACTTAGGGCGGCCGACCTTGTTGCAGATAGGGCCCCGTAGGGACTAAGCGGGCGTAGCCTCGCATTTTCCTTTCTCCCCCTCCCTCCTTTCCTCCTCTATGTTGTGGAAACATGCTTACCGGTGGTAAGCAACCGGACTGACGCCCCCCAGAATAGAAGGAGCTGTTTTTTTTTTTTTTTTTTTTTTTTTTAAAGAAAGAACTGCACGGAACAAAGGTAACAAGAACGGTTTCAGTGCTCCTCCCTTCAAAGCGCTCCTTTTGCCGATATATATATGTGACATTACACATGTCCAGGGTCAGGGAAAAGCTGACGCTTAACAGAGTAGGTTCTGAGATAATGGCGGATTTAAGAACCTTACAGGCCCAAGAATAAATTCAAGTAAGACTGCTAATCGTAGACCCTTGTTCATGAAATTTGCTTCCCATTGCTTGCCAGCCTACATGGATCTCATGATGCAGTCATGCTCTTGTACGCACACACACACACACACACACACACACACACACACACACACACACACACACACACACACACACCACAAAGTAAAAAGAATAAGCGTGGCGATGAAGGACAGAGTTGCACAGAAGCCTTACAGGTCTCAACGACTGTGGTGCAACAATGGTGAGAAGTGGAGTGATCAGGTCTAATGCAGCTACAGCTGAGGAAGTTGTCCGCACAATACTTGCGGCCATCTTTTGCATCCAGATGGCCAACACTTCACGCCTTGTTCTAAGGTCTGACCGAAACCTGTTCATTCACAGCAACATAAACATGGCACAAAGACAATGAGGCACAATACAGTTGTAAGTACAGAGCTTTCTTTCTTTTTCTCTTTTACTGCGGTCCGCGTGAAGAAAACTGAGTCACCATCTATTCGTCCGTAAGTCCATAAAGTTATGCTCCTTCACATCAAGGAGCTGGAAAACCATACTCACAATCTACCAATCCCACTTCGGAACAATTGCATCATTTTTCCAAGGTTGCCTGTTTCATGCTGAGGTCTCTTACACCAGGTCTGGGAGGCCTGGACGTCCACTGAGGCAGCCCCCTCGGTTGCCTGGCCCTTTTTGCAGCCTATGGGCCGAGCGGGCCTTGGCCGTCATAAGGACTCTGTGGTGAGCGAGGTCTCAAGCAGGCATGTATATTTTGTGTTCTAAGTTCACTAGATTTATTTTGTAACTTTTTTTCTTTTTTTTTTTGTTGAAAAACAGGGCCTTATGGTCCTGACTCCTTTTCCATTCTGGAGAGCACCAGTCTGGTTCCTTTTCCACTGGCAAGTCATAGAATTACAGCACCAGTACTCACACGCATCCTTCCGTAGGCGGAACGATCCCTGGTCAGCATTGATTACTCCATTTTCATGGAGGATTGATTTCCAGCTTGCCTCCCTCCCCAAGGTGCCTCTCAAACCCGGTGACCGAGTCTGCCAGCTAAACATGACTACCTAGAATCCTTTGGGAAAGTTGTCGACTCAAATACCCCCCCCATAACCCCCTATACCCTACCATACCCCCCCCCTGTGACCCCCGCCCCCCATCCCCAAAAGTTTTCTCAACGGGATTTGGGCTGTACTCAGGAAGCGCAGTACATCCCTGTACTCAGCAAGCGCAGTACAGCCCTGTACTCAGCAACCCCTTGGAAGTGGGTTGGAGGTCAGGCCACACGGGCCTCAAGTTCCTGCACACGGCCTCTCATACGGAACGTCAGATCCTTGATCAATCGGACGGCCCAGGTGAAAGGCCGAGGGAGTAGCACCTCGATCCATAGTACCTGGACTGTATCTGTGCTGATTTAGCATAAACTTTGAAGTTCGATGACCAAATACATGGCAATCAAATCATAAGGTGAGAGCAGATTTTGGCTGTACTCAGCAAACGCAGTACAGCCCTGTACTCAGCAACCCTTGGACGTGGGTTGCAGGTCAGGCCACACGGGCCTCGAGTTCCTGCACACAGCCTCTCATACGGAACGTCAGATCCTTGATCAATCGGAAGGCCCAGGTGAAAGGCCGAGGGAGTAGCACCTCGATCCACGGTACCTGGACTGTGTCTGTACTGATTTAGCATAAACTTTGAAGTTTGATGACCAAATACATGGCAATCAAATCATGAGGTGAGATCATGAAAGCATGCGACAAGAGAGAGAGAGAGAGAGAGAGAGAGAGAGAGAGA